AGGAGCTTGAAGCTTGTCAGCCCTCTGCATCGACACAGACGACCTCAGCTGACAGTGATCAGAGATCCTCCTGATTCATGTCTCAGGTCCAAGCTGCAGCTCTGCAGCGTCCTTGTTGAAAGTCAAATAAATCTAGCAGGAGGACAGAGACGCAGCTGCAGGCGGGACTTTTTTGTCTTTTAGTGGAAAGCTGTCAGTCGGCGTAATGAGAGCTTTATTAAGACAAATTGGTACACAACAAATCGAGCAGAGAAAACAAGCTGTAAATTATGCCTGCACTGTTAAAGGGATAATTCTGAATTTTTGTAATGGGGTTCTGTGGAGCTGGCACGATGGTGCAGTTAGAGCTGGCACCTCTCAGCAAGAAGGTCGCTGGATTGAATCCTGGCCGGGGGCCTTTCTGGGTGGAGTTTGCATGTTGCATGGATTTTGTCCCACAGACCAAAAACATGCATGTTAGGCTGATTGGTAACTCTAAATTGTCCCAAGGTGTGAGTGAGAGAGTGAATGGTTGTTTGTCTCGTTTGTCTCTATGTGTCCCTGTGATGGACTGGAGACCTGTCCAGGGTGTCCCCCGCCTCTTGCACAGTGACTGCTGGATATGGACAAGTGACCCCCCGCGATCCAAAAAGGAAGACACGGGTAAAAGATAATGGATGAATGGGGATCAGTGGATATGTTAAGAACAATTAATATCTTACCTGCTGTAGATGGACAACCTTGAATTACAGATAGTTTTATTCAAAACAAATTAACAGGCTAATGGCTAGTCTGAGCAGGGCCACGTCCATAGAATTATTTGTTTATTTAATTTTGCAAGGGGGGGGGGGTGCAGAGGTTAGAGAAGGTGAGCCTATCATCGGAAGGTTGCTAGTTCAACCCCCCCGGACTAACAACCTCAAAAATATTGGTGGGAAAGGTGAAACACCCACACCTGCCTCCACCCTCACTTGTCCCGCCCTGGGCCCTTGAGCAAGGCCCTTAACCCCCACCATCTGCTCCCCTAAGTGCACTAGATGCCAGCGCTCTGCTCCACACAGAGAGCTGTGGTAGCTCGGTGGTCTGTGGTTGCATCAGGAAGGGCATCTGGCAACAATCGCCAAGTCTTTGTGAAGAAGGGAGCAGCCAAAAGAAGAAGAAAAAATATTAGTAGTTTATTGTAAAGCTATTTTATAAACATTTTTTAAACAGTGTTTGCACGAACTGACCTCTTCAAAAAAATACAATAAAATATTTTTTTTGGCAGCAGCAGTCCACTCTTTGCCTCTGTCATAATATTATCACCCGCCGCTGAATGTTGGACAATAATGTTTTTGCATGTGTTTCTGTGTTTGTTACCAGAAAGAATATCATGAATTGTTGGACAAGTTTAAACAAAAATTACAGGAAACTATTTTTGGACAAATTTTTACAACTTTTAGTCAGCCCAAATCAAGATGGCTGCCACAGCCAACTAACCTTAGAAAATCAAAACACCAAAAATAGGTATAACTCAGTCAATTTTATATAGAATGACCTAAACTTTGATGTGCTAGTAGCTTAGAGTCATCCCCAACACATACTATTAGCATAATTTACTATTAGCATACCTTATATTACAAAAGAATGCACACGGCAATCTGAAGACGGTCTCGGTCTAAAATTCTGTCATGAGAAGTGAAGGGTGAAACAATGCATGACCTTAAATGAACTCTTGATTCAGGTCAGTTTTAAACGTAATTTCACCTAACGGAGGTTGTTCAAAGAGCTATCTGCTACAGGTAACATATTTTTTGTTCATATAACCTCCCACCAAATTTAATTTCATAATGTTCAAACCAAACCTTTAACCTGTAAATGTCAGATTAAACACGTTTATTTTAAATGCATGAAGAGTATAGGACAACATTAGTCCAAACAGTGTTTGTTCATATTTATTTTACCTGGGTATATGTGATTTATGTTGTGTGTGTTACCGAAGCTCCAGCTGCACTTTTCAGTTTATGTAAATCAGCCCTTTTCCCCCTCGTCTGTGAAATACAACTTGCTCTTTAATGTATGCATGAATTCAGACAACAGGCAGCTGTAGATTTGTTCTGAACACAGAATACCCCCGTTTGCAATAAACGCCAACGACCCACCGCTACGTTTCAGCACAAGGTTTGACGAGGATGATCGGACGTCTGTGAGGATTTATTGAACCGAGGGGGATGATGAATTAAACCAGTAAAGATAAAGAAAAATTCAAAGTAATCATGGATGTTAACTGTTTAAAAGCTTTTGATTTTCCCCAAAATAACAAGTACCATGAATTCATTAATCAATCTCACTACAATTATTTCTTGGATTGTGTAGCATATAGTAAATGTAAAGCGCAGAATTATTAAAAATGATAATTTACGCAAATCAAAACTACCACATTTGACACAGAAATAAAAAAAATAGTTTCTCAAATTTAGGTAAGTTAGAAAACACACGGTTAGAAAATAATTTGAATTATAAAAAAGAAACAAAACACAATATGGCATTCAAAACTTTCATTTTTGATGTTATGTATTTTTTTTTCTGGTGTTTTTGCTTTTGATCTTTACAGCTTGATTTATTTATTTATCCATTTTTGTGCTTTACAATCTCTTTTTAATTTCACATTTATTAACCAGGCAAACCCCATTCAGATCTCTTTTCATGTAAGTCTGAATAATTTTGGTTTGTGAGAGAAAAGCGTAGTACCTGAAGAAAACCCACGCAAACAACAGAATATAACTCCACTCAGAAAGACCCCAGGCCCAACCCGGGAACTGAACCCTGGACTTTCTTGCTGCTGTGAGGCAGCTGTACTAACCACTAACCCATTGTGTTACCCAAACCAAGCTTTGCATCTCAGTTATAGCTTTAACTGAAGGCTTAACTGAACACAGATGATGGAAAAATTATGTGAACTCTGTCTTTAAACATGAATTACCAGCTGAGGAAAAAACTGCAAGAAAGGCAAACTGCTCTGTGAGCGTTTTCTGCATGAAAACAAGCTTTGAAACCAAACCATTACATTTATATTCAATGAAAAACAGAGCCACTGCACATTTTATGGTAAAACTGTGTTTTCCCCCCTGACATCAGCACTCTTTCAATATGAAACTAAACTAAAAAATTCAGCTGAGAAGAGCAGAAACAGAGAGTCATGCAGTTTCAAAACATTGAGAGGAATGATTGTGCAGTTCAACATTTTTATAAATGAATCAGTGAAAGAAAAATCAAAGGAAAGGAAACAGAGCTGCTTTAATTTCAGTGCTTAAAAATGAATGCTTCTAAAATAACAACTTCTCCGAGCCTAATACAGTTCAATTCAGTTTATTTCTATAGTGCCAAGTCACAACAGAAGTCATCTCAGGGCACTGCTGCTTTGAGTTTAATTTCATGGCAGACTCTCATCTTGAGCATGAAGGCGACAGTGGAAAGGAGGTGGGCGGCTGAGGCGAGCTGGTCTGGGAACAGTCCTCACCTCCTTCTACAGGTGTGCAGTGGAGAGCATCCAGTGCTCCAGCATCAACGTGTGGCATGGAGGCTGCACAGCTGCAGAAAGAAAAGCTTTGCAGAGAGTGGTGAAGGCTGCACAGAAGATGTTGGAGTCAGTCTCCCCACTTTCACTTCTCAGTTGTTTCCTATTAAAAATGAAATCAAACACCTTGAATGTCTAAAGGCACAGACCTCTTCCTTGTTGTTTCACCAGTTAGAAAGGTAAAGCTACTAATTTTATTATTCTAAACATTTTGCTACCAGAAAACTATAACTACAGTACACACATGACATTTAGAATAACGACAACAATAAAATACAAACCTTCTATCTGCAGCTGATGGTTTGAGCTGAAATCAAGTCAAGTGATAATAAAAGCTAATCTGATGCTCATCGCGATGATCTGCTGCAGCAGTGAAGATCTCTCTCAGGTTGCTGCTGCTTACACGTGACACTGCATAAAATGCTTAGTATCCTGACAGTTAACGCTCATGTTAGACATGTCCTCAAGTTGAGCCTTGCCTTGCCCGCCCAGAAGACTGGCCATGGTTCTGTCTCTGATCGGACATGGCTGGGTCTATCTGTTCAAGGATGAGATGTCCCAGATCCAGTCCTTAATATGGAGTTGTTTTTGCTTTTATTGCTCAAATGCACATTTTAGATAGTTTCATCACACCCACTGTTATCATCAGTTAAACCAGTTATGACCAGTATGATCAACACATAGCCGTCCTACTGATGCACGCTGGTAGCACTCCACCCATTGTCCAGGGTGGAGTCTAGGGCCAAGAAAAGATGAGGCACTCCTTGAGTTCAGGGCTTCTGTCATCAAGATCCTCGTCGTGACGGTTCGGACTGAAGCCTCAGCGCTGAGAACCTGTAACTTTTCCTGCCTTATCGACACTAAATGGTAAAAACTTTGTTCTTCTCGTTTTTTATTGAGTCATAGTGAGTCTTCTCTCCAGCTGGGAATAAAAAGAACCGAAAAAGCCACTGTGGATGGACGACACTAGAATACATTAGCTGGCATTTTTCTTAAAAAAAACATGTAAATAATTTATGTGATTCATGCTTATGTTTGTAAGAACATTGAGTTAACCCCCCCCCCCCCCCCCCCATACCCCCAGGACTGGACCTCACTTCACCTGACCTCCTCCTCCTCCTCCTGAGGAGGGAGGAGGGAGAGGATGGAGAGTTTTGCTCCTCTCTCTGCTCCTTTAAGAGCACGTGTGTGTGCCTCTGCTTCCTGTGCAGCTCTCAAAGTTTGACTGTGGTGAATCTGGAGGTACCACAGCGGAGACGGGTGCAGCAGAAACAGAGGAGGAGGAGGAGGAGGAGGAGTGGGGGGAAGAAATGGACCACAGCTCGTGTGGGAGGGTCCCACTCCGGCAGTGAGAAGAACAAAGACGGAGAGATGACCGAGCGGATTTGCAAATGGGAACCACAGGAAGGTTGATGTAAGCAGAAAGAGGAAGGGACTCCCGGCTGCAGCCTCCTCTGCTCCCCCTCAGACATGCCGCTCCTCCTCCGCGCGCTGCTCTTCGGCTCCATCACGCTGCTGGTGCTGCTTCTGGTTCTGGATGATTTGGCAGAAGTGGGGAAAGAAGCTGCGTAAGTGACCCACGCTCAGTCCTCCATGTGTCAGAACCTGCTGCCTATTGTCCAGCAGCTCATCCCAGAAGATCTCCTCCCTGAAGTGTTCAGAAGAAGACAGGATTGTCCATCTTCTGGAAACTGCTTGAAGTGGCAGTTTCCACATTTTGCATGAGGAGCAGCTGTCCTCCCATCAGCCGCCCTGCTGCTACCCGGCTCCCCCAGGATTAGGCTGTGTTTGCAGCAGCCGCCTGCATGCAGGATACATTTCCACTAGATGTGTGGAGGGAGAAGCAGAGAAAGTGTGTGAAAGAGAGGAGGACAGATTAGGGAGGAAACAAAAGAGGCTCTCCTTTCTTCAGCCCCCTCTCCTCTTCTTTTTGTTCCATTCTCAGACTTTGAAATGTTGAGCAGTGCAGCAGAATCCTATTCTGTCCCACTTGCCAGGAAATCTTAATTTAGAATAACAATGTGTCAGTCTGCAGGCCTCAGAGGGCATTTCTCTCTGTTGTCACCTGGTGGATAAAAACACTTTCTCGTGTTCATCTTCTGACTCTCACATTTCCCTTTCGAGCAGGAGTGTTGCGTTTCAAATGCAGTTAGCCGGCTGTAATGAGGTCACACTGGTTTGTGATTCACCGTGGGAGAAGAGAACCAATTCCACGTCTGAGCGTGTTTAAGAGCCTCCAGGTCTGTGAACAAAAAAAAAAAAAAGACCTGAAGGTGGTTTTCAGGGTCAGTTTATCCGTTTTTCATGGAGGCGGATTCAGTTTGTTGCAAGTGATAACAGATGTTGCCAAGGTCGTGTTTTTTTTAAGTGTCTGAATCTGAACGCTGCATGAAGGCGCTGTGTTCAGCAGCTTTGTGAAAACCTTCTTCTTAAAAAGACCCCCCCAAAAAACTAATCTGTGTAATGAGGCTCCATTAAGACTAAATTTCTCCTTATTGCATCAGCAAATGGACCATAATGGGTTTGTTTTCAAAAGGAAATTCACACACGTGGTGTTTCACCTTCAGTCTGACTGGAGGAGGCTGTAGTGTACACCTGATGCTGAATCCACTCTGTGACAATTTGATTTGAGATGCTGTGAGTGATTTTTAATTTAATTTGTTTTTGTCTTCCCCCTCAGAAATACTGGACACTCAAAGAAGATGAACTCGCACCAGCTCGTCCCGAAACCTCACAGGTCTGAAATGTGTGGCTCATAAAAATGTGCATGCAGCTGGGCATGTTCTGTGATTTTATTTCATTTTATTTTATTTTTTTTATCGCTTTTGCTCACTTTTCATGCCGCTTTGAGAACACGCAGCTGTGTGTTGTTTAGTTTGTCTGGTCAAAGCTGAAAAGTTTGGGAACAACCATTCTAGGATGAAGGGAACTTTTTAACACCTTACTGCAGAACCTTTTAGACTGGGTGCCCTCCGAAGTGATGACGGCAGGGATCATTACTGATCCACCAATCTCAGATAAAGTCAATGATCCAAGATGGCAGCACGACTGTTTCAGACCATTGGTGGCAGTCAGAGCTCTCTAGTGCTGACTTTACTGCATTAGAAAGTGAGCAGAACGATGGATTAATGGTTAACAGTGTTGCTTCACTGGGTTCAGATACTTTGGGCCCCGAGTCTTTCTGTGTGTAGTTTGCATGTTTTCCTCATGCTTATATGTGTTTTCTCCCACAGTCCAATAATTTGCATGTTCAGGCCCAGACCTCCCTTGCAAAACAAATCTATGATTTACCTGGTGGAATAAAGGTTAACAAATAAATAATGAAAATGTGTGTTATTTAACAAGCATTGGAACATTTTGTCCTTTTTTAATGGCTCATATTTATAAGATTTTAGTTTTAGACAATAAACTAGGTTTGGGTAGAGGTATGAAGGTAAATGTTTACATCTGAGTGTGCAATATCGCTCTTTTTTCTGGTAGAAACTTATTTTCACAACACTGTTTCTCAGTTTTGGCCATTTCACGTTCAGGACAACAGCAGTCGTTTTCTATGAAACCAAATCTTCTTTTACAAATTGTTATCCGATTTGCACTTTTGCACTACAGATGGCTGCAGTCAGTGGTTTTTGATGAACAGCAGTAACTAAGGCGGATAGCAGAGTGCTGTTTGTGCTGCTCAACCTTTATCAACACGTAGGAGCCAACCAACCTCACCCTTGGTCCAAATGGACATTTGTGTATTCACCATTTTGGATGTAACTGTTTTCACGCTCGAGACTGAAGTGTGTGTGAATCTGCGAGTCGTTGAGGTGTAGAAATCACAGCTCCGGCTGATGATCTGTCAGGGAAACTACAACAAATTCAACAAACACAACCTTATAGAATACACATGTAACTTATCTACAATCAACGGAGAAAAAAACGCTGTTTCCAGAGATTGTTTACGTGTAACACAATCATTACTTTAGCTAGTTTAAACTTTAACATGTAATGTACCAGGCAGAGTTCACCAGGCTTACACAGATGTCTCACTGAAGCCCTGGTCATGAAGATCTGCACCGGACAGTGTACAGGAAGTGTTTTTATACACGCTTATCAGCACAATGACCTCGGCCTCTTAGACTCGGAGGCGTCAAGTGCTTGCAGGCTCCTCTTTGAGAGAAGAAGAACTCTCTGATCTCACACATGGTTCAACATTAATTTATCATTAGCAGTGATAAACATCCATAAACCTTTACCTGAATTCCCCTGACAGGAAGTATTTTATATTTGATAATTAGGTTTATTTATTGTTTTGTAATTCATGTGTTGTGCTACTTGCGTTTCCCTCTGTGTTCCTCTGTTCTGTCATTCATTTCTCATCAGACCGTCCTGCCACGCCCATTTACACCTGCACCCTGTTCACATGTCACAGCTACTTATCCCAGGTCCATTCAGTTACTCTGCTTTCCCCACATCGAGCAGTAGTAGTTCTTCTGATGCCACCGTCCGTTCGCCCTGTGTTTAGATGTACATTTGCTGCCACGTCAGCTGATTTATTTAAAATAGTATGCATTATTTTTCCAAGCTCCTCGTGTCGGTCTTCATCCTGGGTCCAAACCTCCTGAAAACCATGACAATACATTAACACCCCAGCCCTGAAATATTTGAACGAAAGCTGAACAGTTTCATCAAATGATCATTGTTTTGTACTGAAAGAGACTAACTCTGACACAGATACTGCTAGATCGCTTTACAAACAGTAGCAGGAAAGTCACATATGTTTGGACGTGTATAGTTTTAAGAAACAGACATGTTTCAGTAACAGAGGCTGGAAAACTGGTGAAACAGCATCAGATTTCCCTCTGAAGACCATCTCTGCTGCAGGAAGCTCTGTTTGATTGACATGAGTTCATGTATAGTGGATTGTGTAAAAACACTGCTGCCCACAGATGTGCCTGTCTAAAAATTGGCTTAGTACTGTACGCTCAGGCCTGTCTGTTTTTTTTAATTTCCTCATAAAGACAAGGCAATACAATAAATCACCCGACTGATCAATCAGTCCTTATGTGACATCAGAAGTACGGGGATTTTAGTAGAGCTGATGGTGGGGAAAATAAAGATTGTGCACACACATAACCTGCACTAAAGCAAGTTTTAAACTGTAAATGAACGTTGCTAAAATAATGGAAGATTTTTTTTATTTAAAATGCATTTTTAGTAGCTGCTACTGAAGTTCATATTAGACATTTAAAGTTTAAATTCATATAAATCCAGCTACAAACCAAAACATTAAAAATATAGAAAAAGTGTAAAATGTGTTAAACAAGCACACATGTAGTGTTTTGTGATCAAAAGGAATCTGAGAGGCTTTAATTCTCTGCTTGTAATGCAACCTTTCATTGGTTCCCAAGGAAGGGGTCGAGACCCCACTGTGGGACATGAAGCATCAACTTTGGGGTCTTGAGATAACCTGAAATTAAACTAAATGTAAAAGTAACTTATTTTTCAGTGTAATTGTTCCAAGAAATAAAAAGAATAGTTGATAGAAGGAACCTCATTAGTTGTTGATGCAGTCATTGGGGCTCATGGAGTAGAGGTAGGGCAGCCAAGTTGGGACCCAAAAGTCCCAGGTTCAATCCCCAGCCATTTCCCCATGTTGTCTCTGAGCAAGACACCCAATCCCTAATTGCTCCCCAGGTGCCTACATAGCTGCCCACTGCTCCAACTGGGCAAATCCCATGTGCGATGGGCCAAATGCAAAGAGCCAATTTTGCCATTGTATGGAAACATACGATGACAACACTTACTTACATTAGTGCCATCAGTTGGCCTGAATACTTCAAACACGTTTTGTCTTGGTTATTTTATTGGTCATACGTTGAAAAGTTTGTTACCCCTAAATCACAAGTTTTACTATTTTTTTTGTCCAACAAAATGAAAGCCCATCAGAAAAAGAAAAAGCTCCACATCAGATCTTTAGATGGCTTCCTAATGATCAAACTTTTATAAGATAGCATTTTTTATTTTTGTCTTTTAGTAAGACTGTGGTCCACTTGGATCCGACCTCCACGACGAAAACGAGCAAACGCCTCGATCGCGGTCGTTGTTCGATCTGCAGTGGTGCCTCCAGTCACCCGTCAAGCACCTGGACTTTTAACAAGACCCTCTCCAACCTCATCAGGTACGTTTCATCACCTGTCCCTCTCCACGATCCACTGAAAGCTTTTTCGTAACGGGTGTGTTTTCTCCGACGTGCAGGAAGAATATCCTCAGATTTCTTGACCCAGAGAGAGACATCTCCATCCTGAAGGGCACGCTGAAGCCAGGGGATGTCATCCACTATGTTTTTGATCGCCACAGCACCACAAACATCTCAGAAAATCTTTACCGACTGCTGCCAACCGCATCCCCGATGAAACGCCAACATCACCGGCGCTGCGCCATCGTGGGCAACTCTGGGATCCTGCTGAACAGCAGCTGCGGGCCCGAGATCGACTCTCACGACTTCGTTATCAGGTAGGGTTTTACCCTCTTATCCAAGCAAGGTAAGAAATTTCAGTGAGGGAAATGAAATTCATTGGAATACACTCAAATATACAAGAGCTTGGCATCGTGAAAAGGCTTTTGCGTCAGCGAGTGGCATGCTGAGCCTCTCAGGGAACAACCGAGGCTGGGTCTTGCTCTGATTTACAAACAGGACGCGGTGTGTGAATCCACCGGGACATTCTGTTTGTGTTCGGGTGCAAGAGGAGTCTGATTTATGTGTCACAACTCAAAGCTGCCTTTGAAGGAAAGTCACGTCTTGTCTATGCCAAAATAAAAGTGTTCTTGATTTTTCGTAGAGTTTAATCAAACAAAAAATGCACGATCTGAAGGGAAAACACTCGTCATCTACCGGTTCCTTTAATGTTGGTGTAGAAGTAAAGATGTGAGCAGACTGCTCTCTGGTTCAGACTTCTGTACATCTTTCTCTTGTGTACATGCTGCTGTTGATGAGGGGAGCCGTGCTTTTAAGGCTCCAGCAGCAGGATAATAATGCAGATTCATGACAGGAACGGTTGGCTGGTAGCAGGGAACAGGAAATGTGTCATTTTGAGAAGGCGAGGAATTTGCTTTGGCACTCGCATACGAGATGAGATGATAACGTCTTGGCTAAATATAGTCCCCCGCCTTCATTTGGCTCCTTTAAAGTAGGTTGATGGTGTTTGAGGTCGCAGGTATGGATGATTTCAGCTCTTGGGTGGAACGTTCGCCGACTATCAGCGGTTCTCTACCTGTCAATCAAATGAGCAGCAACAACGGAGATGTGTACAAATGCAGGATCCCAAAAAATTAACTTTGTCAACTTTTTTGCAATGAAATGTAACCGTTGTGTGCTCGTTCAGTTGATATCTGCCATGGATTCTACAAACTAATAGGTTCATCCTATTTTATTTACGAGGAGTCCGTACAATAGACAATAAACAACAAATAATAAAAGAACAGTCAAACATCATCATCCATCCAGTATCTTTTACCCGCTTCTTCCTTTTAGGGTTGCAGGGGTCACTGGTGCCCATATCCAGCAATCACTTTGTGAGAGATGGGGGACATTCTGGACAGGTCTCCAGCCCATCACAGGGACACATAGAGACAAACGAGACAAACAACTATTCACTGCCTCACTCACACCTAAGGACAATTTAGAGTTACCAGTCAGTCTAACATGCATGTTTTTGGTCTGTGGGAGGAAACTGGAGTACCCAGAGAAAACCCACGCATGCACGGAGAGAACATGCAAACTCCACCTGGAAAGGTCCCCGGCCTGGATTAGATCCAACGACCTTCTCGCAGAGAGGCGGCAGTTCCACCAAATGTGCCACCGTGCTGTCCCACGCCTGATGAAGATCAGTGAATCTCTTCAGGCAGCACATTTGTTTGGATCCATCTTGTGGGCTCTAAATCAGCCCTTTTGTTCTTTTGTTGATCTTGGTGCCAGTTTTGTGTCCAAAGATGAAATTCATCTTCATCTTTAGTTCCCTGTTAGACACTGGAAGCTCTTGCGCTACAGTTTAACTACTTAAAACTTCACTACTACCATTTGTGGGTTTTGTTCTGTGTTGTTTTTGAGACAAGCACTTATTTTTTAATGTTTAAATCAGGTCCAGGGCAACATTAGATGGATTAATCCCTCAGAAACGACTTAAAAACATTGACGACCATATTCACTGGGTCAGAACATTTTGCTTTCCATTATATTTTAGCTTTACGTCTTGGAATATTGTCATCCATCCACTATTTTCCACATGTTCCAGAGGGGTAGCAGCTAGAGCAGCTTTCCCCAGCCACATTTTCCAGCTCTCACGATTCAGACAAGCTTACAGCATCATACAGTGATCACTGTGAAAAACATGGAGAACAGGATTGCCCATATGAAGAGAACCAAATAAAAATGCTAGAAAAGCTCCATAAAGGTGTCCTTTACTTACCGGTACTTATTTTTGCCTGTTTTCATGAAAAATGGGCAATCATGTAATTGTCAATAAACAACTGTGTTGTCGGCATAGAAATGTAAGGATGCATGAGGAGCGATCTGACCTACATGTAGATTGTGAAAAGAGGGTGGGTCCTAAGACTAAGCCTTGTGGTACACCACTGTTGACAGTTAGATAGCTTTTGTTCTTTCTGTAAGATTTGTGACATCAGTGGTCTGTGTTTTTAGGTGCAACCTGGCGCCGGTGGAGGAGTACTCTCAGGATGTGGGCCAGCGGACCAACCTGGTGACCATGAATCCCTCTGTGGTGCAGCGGGCCTTTCAGGACCTGGTCACAGAGGAGTGGAAGGAGCGCTTCCTGAGGCGCCTTCGAAACCTCAGTGGCAGCGTGCTGTGGATCCCAGCCTTCATGGCCAAAGGCGGGGAGGAGCGCGTGGAGTGGGCCCTTCGTCTCATCCTGCTGCACACGGTGGACGTACGCATGGCGTTCCCATCGTTGCGCCTTCTCCATGCCGTCAGAGGGTAAGAAGTAACTACGTCTCATAAGAACGGCGGAGAGCAGCAGAATCGGAGGGCTAGTTTTAAACAGAGACAATCAACAGGGAGTGACAGTCGTGCACCTCCAGGTGCCAAATGTGACACACATGGAAAATATGTTTCTGTAAGAAATGTCTAGTCTTTTAGTTGTCCATTTCTTAATGTCTCTGTCACTCAGAGGAATTGTTGGATATTTCGGGAGAAGCGTCTGTTTGCTTTGAGGTGAACAAATTGATTTTACTCTCGGGATGCACAAGCAGGTGACTGTGAGTAATCAGCAGGAAAATGGATTCTGTCAAAAACTCTTTTGACAATCACTACAAAAGTAATTTGTCCTAGACTGAAATGAAAGCATAATCTATATTCATCGACTAAATTTGTCTCATGCTGGGTAAATAAAGGCAGACATTAGCAGGAAATTCTTGAAAAGCTTTATTTTAGTATTTTCACAAATGTAAAACGCTTCAAGCTTTTGATGTTTTAATAAATTTGTTAAAAATAGAAAGTCTATTTTACAGGAGTACCAGGTTTGATGGAAGCAGTTTAGCATCTTCTTGAGCCTTTTCCAAGAATTTATCAAAATTAATTTTATTTACGTTCAGTGTTCATTCGCCAATTCTTGGCGACATAGGTTTGCTCTAGGGACGTGGAGCGTTACCTCACTGGTAGGTAAGGAGCCGGAGCTTGTGTGTACGGTGGGGCGGTACCAACTAGATATAATTAGGCTCACCTCTACGTACAACTTGGGCTCTGGAACCCAACTGGTTCTCTACTGGAAATGGGTGGAATGCCCCCATCGAGTTGAGGGGAAACTTTGCCCCAGGTGGTGGAGTTTAAGTTTCTGGGTGTCTTGTTCATGAGAGATGATATGTTGGGGAGGGAAATGGATTGACGGATTGAGGCCTCGTCCTAAGTAATGAGGGCATAGCTTCGGTCAGTTGTGGTGAAGAAAGAGTTAAGTCGAAAGGCAAAGCTCTCGATTTACTGGTCTGTCTATGTTTCAACCTTCACCTATCGTCATGAGGTTTGGATCATGACTGAAAGAACGAGATTCCAGATACAAGTGGTCGAAATGTGCTTCCTTCACAGAGTGTCCAGGCTTTGCCTTAGGGTGAGGAGCTCTGTCTTCAGGATATTCTCAGAGTAGAGCCGCTGCCTCTCCACATTAAAAGGAGTCAGTTGAGGTGGTTAGGGCATCTGATTAGGATGCCTCCTGGACGCCTCCCTTTAGAGGTTTTCCTGGCACGTCCCACTGGTAGGAGGCTCCGAGGAAGACCCAGAAGCTGCTGGAGGGATTGTGTATCTTCTCTGGCCTGGGAATGCCTTGGGGTTCCCCAAAACAAGATGGAAAGTGGCACTGGAAAGAGGTGTTTAGGTTTCTTTCCTGGACTTGTTGCCTCCGCGACCCGACTACGGATAAGTGGTAGAAGATGGAGAATTTTGGGAATAATACACAAACCTCAAAAATTTAGTGACACCTGGTGGCCAAGTTGCAGATTGCAAGTTAACTGCATATTCTTTTTTTTAACCCTCCTGCAGCACTTGGGTCAAAATGATGAACAGGCTTCAGTCTTAAATTGTTGATTCAAGATGGCATCCAAAGGCAACTGACTCCACCTCTTCCCCCCCCCCCCCCCCCAAAAAAAAAACTACATTAAAATGGTTTAAACTCCATCAGTTTTAAAGACATTAACCAGAAATTTTGTATGATAGTAGCTGAGACTGATCCCCAACACATATTCTGAGAGCTAGCAGATTGTGCAAGATCTTTATTTAAAATGTTACAATTATATGTTTAGAGACAACTCTGTCTTTTAGCAAAATATCTCATGAACAGCTGAACAGAATTTATTAAAAGTTTCAGAAAATAAATGTTGGATGAATATCTACAAGTGATTAACTTTTCTAGTCAACTAAATTCAAGATGGCTGCCACAGCCAACTGACACAACAAAATGAAAAATGGCTGTAATTCAAACAGTTTTACAGATGTTGGGCTAGAGTTTGTTGTGGTAGTAGCTGAGAGTCATCCCCAACTCAGAAAATTAAACTGTTAAATGAAACTGGTGTGAAGAACTTGACCTGGAGCCAGTTTGTCCATCAAACGAACAGACTGAGACTAAAACACAAACATCCGTCAGTTTAAAAGGATTTATTGAACATACAGCTGAATTCAATGGGCTTGCTATACATTTATACACGTTCTCTCATAAGTTAAAACCAGACAAATCCTTTGTCCTGAGTGAATTTCATCCAGTCCAGACAACCTTCAGATGTTTGGACAGCACGACGGCTCAGTGGTTAGAACTGTTGCCTCACAGGAAGAAAGTACTGGGTTCAAACCCCGAGTTGAGCCTCGTGTCTTTAAAATGATTTGCCTGGTTGAATAAAGATTAAAATTAAAAAAACAAGTAAAGTAAATGTTCTGATCTTATCCAGCAGGAAGCAGTGAGACCTGTCATCCTCAGAAATTACCGGAAAACCAGCAGAGATGTTGGTTAACAGTCATGTAGACCTCCTGGTGACCTTTCACAAAGAAAGCAGCACATTCCTTATTTTTGTAGGTTGTTTTTTTTTTCTTTTGAAATGACTTGTAACTTAACTCTAATTATCTCTGGTACCAGGTGTTTATTCTGAGCTGTTTCATGTTTAAATTAGGTGCAAATTGATTTCTTCCCTTGCCGGAGCTTTTACTGGGATTCTGTAAAACTCCAACTTTATTTAGGCTGTTTTTTGTTTTTCTGTTCTGTACTAAGACAAATCTCTTAGAGATGAAAATTGCTATAATTGAGAGGTGACCCATCACAGACAGAATTTTTTATTCATTCATTCATTCAACCTTTATTTATACAGGTTAATCCCACTGAGCCTCGGGGACTCATTTACAAGAGAGATCTGACAGAATTATGAGGGTCTGCTCATCTTTACTCCAGCCACCATCCTTTCAAACGTATTTATTGTTGATCAACCCTCTGTTCTGCTCCTCTGCTTGTTTTAATGTCTGCTGCTGGAAGCGTTCATCCTGCTCAGCACACAATACGTTCTGAATAATAAAACATCAGCACCTCTACAGACACAGGATCCCCAAAAGCAATAAAAAAGAATAAGGAACGTTAAGTTGAATTCGGCCATTAAGAGCTCTGCCTCTGCACTCAGAAAACCCTTTTTTCACCACAGCTTCCATTATTTCTAAAGTGTTTTTGTCTCGAAAGCAGACAGTCGGATGAACAATCGTTTGCTGCCCAGACGGCAGAGAGATTCAGAAATGGATCAGTTACGAAGTTAAATTTTAAGGCCTAGCAGTCCTTGAAGGAATGCATATCACCCAACGCCTTTGTTGTGATTCACGTTATACACCATCTCATACAAAACTGTGCGCTCAAACATTGTGTTGAGGATGACTCTCAGCTACTACCACACCAAACTGACTGTTATAGCAGTTTTTGTGCTGGCTAATGTTGATTAGTTGTGGCGACTGTCTTGAACTGGGTTGACTCCAAAAGTTAAATTGTAGATGTACTTCCAGTAACTACTTCCTGAAAGTTTGATCAATTTTGTCCATTTTTTTATTAGATTTTTTTGCTAACAGACAGCAATTAAGAGTTAATGCACAATTGGCCATCAGAAATATGAAGCGGTGTGAAGCCCTATGACTGTTTGTTCAGAGTGATGCTCAGCTAATACCACACCAGATTTTAGCATGAACAGAATGGCTACTATTTTTTGTTTCATGAGAATACCGTATTTTTCGCTGTATAAGTCACAGTTTTTTTAATTTTTTATTTTTGCATAATTTACATGCTTATAGGATTTATAGGCTGAAGTGACATATTTATGGATTTTTCCCATATTTATAAACCATTTTTTGGCTGAGATATGACTGTTTTCATTCATTCTGACTGAAAAAAAATTAACAGTACCATTTTCACCCACTAGATGGCAGCAGAGTAGTAAGGCATGCCGTTGCATCATGTAATAGGTAAAAGTGGCTCTAATGACAAATTCAAAAAAGTTCAACACAAAAACAACTGGACTGTATTTATTATACTTTACTTTATAGTTTATTGCTTTTGTCTTGAACTTTTTTTGAATTTACCATGTCTTGGATGACTGAGAATCTTCACCAGTTATTATTAGCAGAAGCTTCAGTATATTCAAAACAGTGCAGCCAGGATTTTATTGAGAGCTCGTAAATTTGAACATATTACACCTAATCTCCATAACCTCCACTGGCTCATCTACAGAATTCAGTACAAAATTGCTCTCATCACCATCAGTGTTTATACGGAAATTCACCAGATTATCTGAAGGACCTTCTTGCTCCATATTCATCCACCCGGTCCCTACGATCACAGAACAGTCATCTCCTCCACCTTCCACAAACTAAATTAAGGACCATGGGAGATCGGGCATTCTGTGTGGCTGCCCCCCACCTCTGGGACTCCCTCCCTGAATATCTGAGACCTCCACAATCATTGACTGACTTTAAAAAAGGCTTAAAGACTTTTCTTTTTAAGCAAGCCTATTCTGCCAACAAATGATTGTATCATTGATTTTATTTGATTCAATCATTGATTTTAGTTGATTTTATCATTGATTTTAGTTGCACTCTGTAGCACTTTGAGATTTTTGTTAATGAAAAGTGCGTTACAAATTAAATTCGTTATTATTATTAGTTATTAATGACCCAATCGCCTGCCTTACTCTTCCACCTTCGTTTTGCTTTCTGCTTGGAACCGTCAAATCAGCTTCATTTCGCTGCACCGCCCCGACGAAATGCAGCTAATTTGACAATTAAAGTTAATTTATTAAGTAAAATTTCAACTGAGACACACCTTTGCTATGAAGTCGAGTGTACAAATAATTGTTTTAGATGCTTTTCTTGTTAAATTTCAAAGAAACGCGTGGCCTTCCTACTTCTTTTTTCCCCCTGTCTGCACGCTCCCGGGAGCACCGAGACAGCAAATAATTTTGAAATACAGCTGATTTGACCATTAAAGTATTTTTATTAAGCAAATGTTAGATTGAGACACAACTTTACTATAAAGTTGAGCAAACAAATAATTGTTTTTAGGTGTTTATCGTGTTAAATTTCGAAGAAATGAACAGCGGCTCATCCCTTTGTGCGTGCACGCTTACGCGAATCGGGTTTTGAAATACAGCTGATTTGGCTGTAAAAGTGTATTTATTAACTGAGACACACCTTTACTATAATTTTGAGCAAACAAATAATTGTTTTTAGGTGTTAATCTTGTTAAATTGTTGTTAAAGTCCTCCCGTGCACGCTCCCGTGGCCACCATTTGGCAGCCCATCGATTTTTGACACAACACCGGCCCACATTTTCGGATTCGGCCCACATTTCTGGGTTGTCAGTGGTGACGCGTAATGCATAATAGATGCGACGTATACGGCAAAGCAACACATTTATGGATTTTTCCACGTTATTAGACAAATATGCACTGATGCGACTTATAGGGCGGTGCGATGTGAACAGCAGAAAACACGGTACATGTCAAACCCTTCAGATCTTTTACTGTTTAACTTCAGAAACCCATAAAATTAACAAAAATCCATAGTACTCTCACACGATACAAACTATTTACAGCACAATTATTATGTAGATGTATACAACTGAAATATGCCGTACTACCTAAGATTCAGGGATAAACATAAAATCTGACATCCAGATCTTTGTTTACACCTCGTGTTTGTGTAAATTCATCACGATCAGGCGGCGACGTTTAATGAAAACAAGACAGATAGACGTAAAATTAATTTTAAGCTGAGTTTTTGAAAAATACACAACTTTCTCTGCACGTCTGTGGTCGTGAAAAATGGCGAACAATTTGTATAATTTCCCAACAGTCCGTAAGAGTTGACATGTATGCCTGAGGTCAGTTGGCTGTGGCGGCCATCTTGGTTTGGGTTAACTCTTAAAATTAATCAGTTATATAGAATAGGTAGGTACATAAAAAAAATCCAGTAGTTCAAATGAGATGTCTTTCTTTTTTGTTTAATTGGATATTTTAAAGCTTTACAACACAACACGGCAGCACGGTGGCACAACTGGTAGAGCTGATGCCTCTCAGCGAGCAGGTCCCTGGTTCAAACCCCGGTCCGGGGGCCTTTCTGGGTGGAGTTTGCATGTTCTCTCCGTGCATGCGTGGGTTTTCTCCGGGTACTCCGGTTTCCTCCCACAGACCAAAAACATGCATGTTAGGCTGATTGGTAACTCTAAATTGCCCCTAGGTGTGAGTGAGAGGGTGAATGGTTGTTTGTCTCGTTTGTCTCTATGTGGCCCTGTGATGGACTTGCGACCCGTCCAGGGTGTACCCCGCCCCTCGCACAGTGATTGCTGGACATGGGCACCAGCGACCCCCGTGACCCAAAAATGGAATAAACGGGTAAAGAAAATGGATGGATGGATGGACAACACAACACAACTTAAACAACAACATAACAGCTCAGGCCCAATGTGTCACATAAAACACAGGAGAATGAAGGGGAGGAAAAAAACAAAGCAAAAACAATATATTACGCTAAACAAATCCTTGCAGCGTACTAGCTGAGATTTCAGGTTCGACATCATCCAAATATGGCTCCCAAATCTTGAGGAAAAAGTCTGTCTTGCAGTGCAAAACACATGTCAACTACTCTGATGGCACTAAGTCCTGTAGTATCCTTTGCCAGCCTTTAGCTGTAGGTCCATTGTATCAGAATATTTTTCCTTGCCGCAAACATTAAATATGCAATATAGTCTTTTGTTATCGTTCAAGATAACATTTTTATCCGGCAGCCCTAAAAGTAAAGACAAAGGATTCATTTGTCCAGATATTCCTAATATTTTCTGTAGCTCACAAATTATATCAGACCAATATTTTCGCAGCGACAAACACGACCAAAAACAAAAAAAAAGTGTCAAAGTCCCAATTTCTGTTTTGTATTTAAGACACATGGGAGAGAGATCAGAACCAAAATAGTGTTTGGAGAAATATGCATCCTATGAAGAATTTGAAGTTGTATTGATTTCATTCGGTTGCACACAGAGATGGATTTCACATATTTCCAAATCTTACTCTAATCTTCATCGTTGATGAGCATTGACAATTTTTATTTTGGAGATGTCTTTCTTATGTTATATATGCAAAAACATGATCACGCTGTGCTTTTGGCGTTGGGCAATAACATAAATTCTATTTTTCAGCAACTCAAAACCTCGTCTTCACACAGATTACAATGTTTTCATTTACTAAAAGCCAAGAAAAAGCCTGCAGCAGATATTTTGGGTGTTTTTCTTTTGAAATATGGCTCTATGTATTTAATCCTGTGCTTGAGCAGTGGAAATACTGAAGGTTTTATGAATGATTTCCACTCCTGAAGGGCCCGTGTGCTGCTATGAACCACATGGGGACATTTCTATTGAGCCTTAAAGCCTTTGCTTGTGTTCTTTGGCTCTCAGCTCCTGACTTAATGTGAACCCCCAGAGAAAGTTCACTCTAAAGCAGATAAGTGTTTATTCCTCCTTTTAGCAGCTAACAGCTTCTTGTCCGTCTTTACGAACAGGTACTGGCTGACCAACAATGTCCACATCAAGCGCCCGACCACCGGCCTCCTCATGTACACCATGGCCACCCGCTTCTGCGAAGAGATCCATCTTTACGGCTTCTGGCCGTTTCCACTCGACCCACAAGGCAAACCAGTTAAATACCACTACTACGACACGCTGAAGTACGAGTACACGTCCAGCTCCAGCCCTCACACCATGCCCCTGGAGTTCAGGACCTTGAGCTCGCTGCACAGACAGGGGGCGCTCCGGCTCCACACGGGGACCTGTGGTGTGGAGCAGCAACTGCAGAACAAATAACTGGATCAGAAACCATGAACTCTTTCTGTTCCAAGCTCCTGTATTGACTCAGTATGCTGGTTTATTTTACTTTCTATGGCAACCGTAACTCCTCCGGGGTTCATTTGCAAGCAACCGGAAAGGCAGCAGATGTTTTAAACCCAGGGCTGCAAGTTTGGAAAAGACACAAGTGCACACTTTTTGTGTCAGGAGAGAAAATAAAAGCATCAACTTCTACATCCAGTCGAAACCATTTTTGATTTATCGCAGCAAGACATCATGTTTTCGTCGGTTCTGCTTGTGTCTTGCAGTGCTAAATCTAGACCTTTCTTGTTCGAAGTACAAGATATTTGAAGCATTATTCGACACCTTGGTGGGTTAAAATTAGACAAATAAATACCCATTTTCTTTCAGAATCAAGAACCAAACAGCATTAAGTAGTTTGAAGCTGCAATGTCAAATCTTCATGCCTCTCTTGATGGAAACACTGAATATTCAGGGACAACTAAACTGTTTTTTTAATAATCAAAACAACGAATGCCGTTTCTTAGGATCTTCTAAAAGAGCAGCTGATGTGATCTTGATAATGCCTCTTTTGGTAAAGAAGCTTTTGTAGTTCTAAACTTTTGTGGAGTGAAAACAGTTTCATCTGCTGACGGGGGATAAACTTAATGTTGCCTTCAGGAACAAAACGTCTGTTGGACCATCTGAAACTCTTAGAGAAGATAAATACGGAGCGTAGCAGCTGTTCACACACAAATGTTTACCCAGCCAACAGTCGAGTTGCTCTGTAGAGTTTATTCAAAGAGCACCAAGTGTTGGTGAAGGGTGGCTGTAAGAAGAGCCCAGTGTTTTTTTAATGAGTCAGTGCTTTTCTTACAAACGCTCTAGTGTCTAAGAAGAAGTTTACTACTTGTGCAGCGATTTTAGGTTGGTATCAAACCCCTGTTGAATGTTTCGTGCAGATTTATATAAATCTGAGAATGTTTTATGCCTACAGTCAAAAAATGCAGTCCCTGAAAGCAACAGTTCAGATTGTTTGAGGTGGGGTTCTGTGGAAAAGTTATACAATATACTTTTTATAAGGATTTTTAAAGTACCTCATTTTAAGGCTTTATCTACAGTAGCCTAGATATTCTTTTAATTTGATTCATTTTCTTCTCTCGGCTCTCGGTTTATTATTTATTTTTCTCTGCCCACACGCTCTAACAAAAATGCTGAAATACCCTTGCTGAACACTAGGTGGCGAGAGTGGCCACATTACTACCTACAAATCAGAATACAGAAAAAAACATGCTAGCTCCATTAGTGTTTTTTTGTTAATATCATTTACAGTTTCTCTCAGACTTCAACATTCTGGAGCGTAATTAAAGTTCGATGACGACAGGGTCAGGGTAAAGTGAGAAAAAAACGCAACAAAACAAAAGCAGTTTTTAAAAATATCCAGAGTAGTGAAGACGGGGCCTAATTCTGACTTGACTGACGAGCTAAAGGTTAACCTAGCATGGCTAACGCAAAACAAATATATTATTTTTTTTAGATTAAAACAGGGTAAATAAAGAAACAGCAGTTCTTTAAAACACTATTTTAGAAGCTCTACGGTTAGTTTAAAATATGTTTTAGCCACTTGAATTAGCAACAAAACTGGCTTTAGCACTTCAGCCTGAAACACACCAGGCAGAAATATCAAAATTATTCTGCTTCAAAGGTTTATAATGTTTTAATAAAGGTTTATCAAATAGCTTTTGTATAAATTGTTATGAAAGTTCAAAGTTTTAAGATTTAAGCATTTTGTTCTCGGCTGTTTAATTAGCCATTAGATCGTCAAGCTGGTCTGTAACGCAACAATTTTTCCAAACTAGTGGTTCAAAGATGCATCTACAGCAGATAAGACATTAACTATTCATAACCTTTCTACAGAACTACACTTCAAAAGATCTGAACTGAGGACTTTTCACTTATTTTGGTGGATTTGTTTAATTTATTTCTAACAGAACAGGAAAGTACAACACAAATCAGACTGGTCATTTGTGAAAAATAAAATGCGTAAATGCACACAAACTGCAAAAAAACAAACACTTATTGTAGGGCTGTACATTTGTCTTAAACTCACTTTATATTAATCTTCAGGGCCTTTTATGCCAAACCCATTTGTGACTTGGGAGGATATTTTTGTACTTTCTCTGTAAAAGGTTTCTAGGAGTCATCTAAGTACTTTTTCCAGTCACTTTGTGGTATTTCTCTGTGAAAATAAAATAAAACGCTCCTCGACAGGAATTATCAGAAGCGTTTGCAGACATTTGAACAGAACCAGTTGCCTCTCGTGCGCACCCAGCCATGTGATTTGTCCCATAAAGTGTAGTTTTGACAGGATGCGACTGAATGTTGGCCTCGTTAAGTTAAGAATAGACCTGACAGTTGTATTAGAGACGTGGGTTTGTCTGAGCTCGTTGGTAAAAATAGAAAATTGTTACGTTAGTTAACCCAGAATCTGAAGTTTGACACAAATTTTCAAGTATTTACTGTGAAGCTTACTTGTTTTGCATTTTCTTATCACATCTATAGCTCATGCTTCAACCTTTTTAATATCAGATTTGCAGCAAATGTTAGCTTTTGCATGGTCTCGTCTCAATACTACCTGAGCATATTTATTAGGATTTTATCAAATGTTTCTTGGACACTTGCAACTGTTCCTTTATGACAGTGTGAATGTACTTTTCTGCAACCCATAAAAGAAGAAAATGGAGAAATATTGCAAGCCTTTATTTTTTATTCTTTTCCCCTTTAAAGTTGTGACACTTCAAAGCGAGTTTATTCCACCGTAAGACGTGGAAACAGGAAACAGAACATCTGCGCCTGACTTGTTTTCCAGAAACTTCCCAGCCTAAAAAACGTGCAGCTTTGTTGTTGTTTAAGCTCTTCACAGCTACAAGTGATTTATTTTACAAGGGAAACTTTATGTAGCAATGACTCAAAGCTAATAAAAGTCTACAATTAGCGTCTTTACACGGAGCAGGCTTTTTCCGTGACTTTTACACGCATGTTAAAACAAAAGACTGCGCCGAGTTACTCGCCTGAGACGAACTAATTTCTACTTCCAAACTAAGCAGGTAGTCAGAAAAGCAACTTTCAACAAGAGAAATTGCATTTCCTGCAACAATGCAGTGTGAATGCTTATTGCAGAAGAACTTGCTGAAAAACCTGCTGAAATTAGCTTAAAAAAAAGGACATGCTGAAATATATCAGAAATGGAAGAACAAGCATAAATAAGCAGAAGTAAAAAGAAGACATTCTTGCTGAATTAGGTTTGAATAAACAGAAAGTAACACACAAATGCAGAAATTAGAAAAAAAAGCTGAAGTTAGCTAAAAAAAAATAAGCTGAAAAGTAGCTAAAAAGGCAAAAAGAGGCTTAATTTACCAGAAGTGGAAAGAGCTGATATATATATATATACATATGGAATTAACTGAAAAAGCTAAAGGTTGCATTAAAACAGCTGAGTAGCAACAGAAAAAAAGCTGAAATTAGCATGAAAAGTTAATTAGGCTGAAAGTATCAGAAATTACATGAAAAACTTTAATATAACTGAGAACAACTGCAAGTAGCTTAAAGAATGCTAAAAATGTAGCTGAAAGGGTACAACAAGCTTAAATTTGCAGTAGAAAGCAGAAAGAACATGTTTGTCCAAGTAGACTGAAAGAAACCAAAATGAGCACAAAAAAGTGAAAATTATCAGAAAAAAGCTGAAATTAGTAAAAAACTGCACTAGAATACTTTTTAAAAAGGCAGAAAGAAGCTTAAATTATCAGAAGGAAATGTAGAGAGCATATTTTTGCTGAATTAGGCTGAAAAAAGTTGAAATGAGTGGAAAAAAAATATGGAATTAGCTGGAAAAGCTAAAATTAGCATACATACAGCTAAATAATAGCTGAAATAGCAGAAAAGGCTGAAACTTGCAGAGATGAGCTGAAAGGAACATAACAAGCTGAAATTAGCAGAAAGAAGTGAGAAGAAGCACAAAAATGTTGTATTTAGCAGAAACAATCTGAAAGGTGCACAAAACAGCTGAAATCAGCTGAAAATAGCTGAAAAAAAAGTTTAAATGTGCAAAATGAAGATGAAATCAGCTGAACCAGAACTAAGTGTGAAAGGAACAATACAAGGTTGTAAACAGATCTAAATATATGAAGGATGTAAAATGAGCTACAGTTAAAATGTATTTTCTATGAGACAAAAAGTTTCAGAAAAGGCTAAATATTTCAAAAAGCTAAAGTTGCACCAGTGCCAAAAGTCATGGCAGGGTTGTCCTGAATAAGTTGAACGTTTTGATATACAATTTGTTGAAATAGCACAAAAATTGTGGAACGAGAAAGATGCTGGAAAGCCTACGTAAGAAAACTGGATTTATTAATCCTTATTTAACCAGACACATCCCACTGACATCACAGATCTCTTTTGCAAGAGAGGCCTGGCAGCCTAACGTGCATGTTGTTAGTCTGTGGGAGGAAACCAGAGTACCCGGAGAAAACCCATGCAAGCACGAGAAGAACATGCAAACTCCACACAGAAAGACCCCAGGTCCAACCGAGGATTGAACCCAGAACCTTCTTACTGTGAGGCAACAGTGCTAACCACTGAGCCATCATGCTGCCAAATGGATCACTATAGTGTGAAAGCCTCATAAATATTCACTTTTTTTTTCATGATTGCACAAATTACCTGAGCCTTGTCAGCAGTTCTTTGGGCTTTTTTAAAATTAAGTTTAAGTTAATTCATTTAACTTGAACGGGTCAAGCTACTAGTCTTTGATAAATGTCAAACTCATGTGAATTCACACGAGTGAAGCAGAAACTGATCCTGAACAGTGTTTATTTTGTCCTGATCAATGCAGGAAACCAATCGAAGTGATAATTAAACCTGACAAAAGATAAATTGCTTCCTTTAACAAGAGATTTAAGGAGTTTAAGCGGCCCATTTGAGTTGGGAACCTAAAGTAAAAAAAACTAAAACGTGTACGAAACAAGAGAAATGATGAACTTTGACAACAATCCCTTTCAACTTGTTGTAATGTAAGTGTTTATATTTACAAACCAACAACAGGATTAAATTAATGAACGACTCTAACGCCAACATTTTTATATTTAGTCCATGGGTTTTGGTTTATTTATTTATTCATTTATATTTTTGAGTGTAGCAAGTAATACAGGCTGGTAGAAAAATGGTTTCCAAAAAAAAAAAATAATAATTATATATGTTAATTTGATTCACATGTGCTGGTTTTGACAAACATTCATACACACTTATGAACATTTAAAATAAACAAAAACATTCAGTCCTCAGAAAACCTTGTGAAGGTTGTTAGGAACAACGGACAAACCATCAATCTTTCTTCTCCCGGATGGAACATCAGCTCTCTGGAGATACTTTTGTTTTCCTCGTATAAAAACGAGGCTGAAGGTCAGCAGGCGACAGCTTGGATTAAACCTGAAGGTCACCAAACGGCCGCGGTCACACGAGCTGCAGAAACCCAACCTGCCTGCTCCGTGCTGCCGGAAACCACTCCGGTAGATTTACACGGCTTACATCAAACATATTATTGCTTAAATAGTGGTTAAATCTTTTTTTGTAAAAAGCCGAATTACTTTGTAACAAAATCAATTATTTTCTTTGTTTAGTCACTTTTACTTTCAGAAAAGTACCTGCTGAATAACTTAGCAGGTAAAAAATAAATAAAAGTCACATTAATATTGAAGAACCCCATAAAAATGACACTTTGCGTGGACTAGGAGACACTAACACTAGCAGTTTATTTCACACAAATTAAATCAAATTTCAGGACTTCATCCCAACTACACGAAGCATGTTAATAATTACTAAAAGCTGCTGCTGTCAACGTTCAGCACACTTAAAAACACAAGATTCACATTTAAATTAATCAAAAACCACATCCTGATCGAGTCCAGAGGTTCAGGACAAATTTGACCATTTTAAATCTGTGATAGCAGCAAATTAAGACCGATTCTGAAACAGCATGCGTTAAAAATTATTTAAAAAAATACATAAATGCTCACTTCGCTCACAGAGAACAGAAGCCTTTAACAGTGGGTGTGCACAATAAAGTGGTTTGTACAGAAGAATGAGATGTAGTTTGGTTTAAAAAAAAAAAGGTTTATAAACCGTCATAGATTCCTGCAAAAGTTGCAGAGAACTGAATGAAGGCTCCTCATCTCTAATCTAAAAAACAGGATCAGTAGAATGAGAACCTTCACAATAACAGCAGATAATCTGAAATCTGAATGGCGCTGTTGGTTTGAACCCAGATTAAAGCCACGCTCAGGCTGCTGACACGATGAGACTCGGACGGCAGCACAAAAATACAGAGAATCACTTGATCTGTGGCGTGGTCGAACAGAAGAGGAGCTCCGAACGTTCACGCTGGGGTTCACCTGCAACGAAAAGAGAAACTCCGAGTTACTCTGTGAAGGTTTGACTCGTCGTGCTCGACCAGAGCCGGAGCAGGAAGTGGGAATCGCTCCCTCAGATGGGGGAGGCCCGTCGGACTTGGAAGTCAGGAATGTCAGGTAAACAGGACGCCATGTTGTCCTTTAAGGAAGTGCCTGTGTGTGTGTGAGAACAATTGAAAGGAAGGGTGAAGCCTAAAGTCAACACGAGAGCCGGAGTAAAACTGTTTCCTTTAGGTTCTTTGGGACGAACAAGCTGCCTACAGACGTGTGGAAAACTTGTGGTTTATTTGATCCACATGTTCTGTTCCTTCTGACGAACATCTTTGGACAGAAGACCTTCTGAAAGGGATGGCTCAGGTTTTATAAAGTAATAAAGACGTCAGTATCTTACCTGTTGCAGAAAGCTCTTACACCTCAGTTTGGAGAAAAACAGATTATTTATGCTGAGCTAACGGTTAGTCCGAGCTGGACTAAGACCAAAAGGAATCACTGCTGTCTTAAATAAAAATGAACCTACAATATTTTACACAAATAATGGAAAAACTTTAGATTGACATAAATTTTGCATTAGTTAGTTGTTGTACAGTCAGTACCATTGTTAGTATAGTTGTTAGTAAAGTAAAGTGCTGTGTTGTCATTGTTTCTATACGATGGCAAACAGTTCTTAAATGTTGAGAACTACTTTTGCCATCATACGGGAGGGAGCATACAATGATGACAACACATAGCACTTTACTAACAACTAAACTAATAATGGTACTGACTGTACAGGTACTGGTACAGTTATTAGTACAGTTAGTACATGAAGTGTTTCCCCTACCAATATACAAGCGTCAACAGAACCGAGCACCACCACCCCACAGCCCCACCTGTTGGCACTGACGTAAAGCTAAGCTAGCGGCTCACAATACAGGTGCACTAGCTAAAAAGCTACAGGCAGCCTCTTTCCTCATGCTGAACCCTCACGCAGCGCACTGCACAGCTAAATACGTGTCTCTTTAATACCGTTAATACATGTATTAATACAGTTAATAGTACAGTTAGTACATGTATTAGTACAGTTATTAGTAGTTATTAGTAGTTATTTATACGGTTAGTACATGTGTTAGTATAGCTATTAGTACAGTTAGTACATGTATTAGTATAATTATTAGTACAATTAGGGCATGTATTAGTATAGTTATTAATAGTTATTAATAGTTATTAATACAGTTAGTACATATATTAGTATAGTTATAAGCACAGTTAGTGCATGTATTAGTATAATTATTAGTACAGTTAGTGCATG